CTACTTTTTTTTTTTTTTTTTTTTTTGAGTTGGAGTCTCACTCTGTCGCCCAAATTAGAGTGCAGTGGCCACTCCCGGCCACCGCAGCCTCGACCTGCTGGGCTCCAGCAATCCTTCTGCCTCAGCCTTCCAAGTAGCTGGAACTACAGGCACATGCTACCACACCCGGCGAATTTTTTGATTTGTTGTAGAGATGGGGTCTCACCAAGTTGCCCAGGAGGGTCTCAAATCCATGGGCTCAAGCAATCCACTCATCTCGGCCTCCCAAAGTGCTGGGATTACAGGTTGAGCCACCAAGCCCGGCCAACACTTTTCAAAAATTGTCTTGTTTCTAACCTCTCCGGTTTAATTTAGCTGATGAACTAACACCATGAGCCCTACTTATGACACCTCTCCCAAAATAAAACAAAAACTTCAATGTATGTCTACCGCAAGCAGGTGAGGCACTTTAGCCTTGCACTCATGGCCCCGAACTACCTCGCGGCCTACTGTTCTAGCCGCACTGGTCCCCACTCCACCCATGTACTGCAGAGTCCACCCAAATTAGTGCTATGGTCCCAAGAGTCACTTTTTGTTTGTTTGTTTTGTATCTGTCTCACTCTGCAGCCCAGGCTGGAGTGCAGTGGCATGCTCATGGCCACTGCAGCTTCGACCTGCTGGGCTCAGGTGATCCTTCTACTCCCACCTTCCAAGTAGTTGGAACCACAGGCATGTGCCAGCATGCCAGGCTAATTTTTTAACTTATTGTAGAGATGAGGTCTCACCAAGTTGCCCAGGGTGGTCTCAAACTCATAGGCTCAGGCAATCCTCTCACCTCTGCCTCTCAAAGTGCTGGGATTTCAGGTGTGAGCCACCACACCTGGCCAGCCCTCAGAGTCTTTACGTGCTTTAGATCAGAAGGTCCTTGAAGTCAGGGCTTGTTTGTTATTTATTTTTTGTATTTATCCAAATATTTAGTATAATGATTTGTTGAACAAATGCTTTTTCTCTTAAAAATTATTAACTCCTTAATTAGCTAACGTTAACTGGTAATCCATGACAATAGGCCAAAAAAAAATTTTATAATTTATAACTAACAGGGTAATTACTCACTGAGATAAGGTCATCTCTCGCTCTCAGGACTTTCAGCCTTGCTTGATTCATCAAATTAGACATCTGACTGCAAAGTGGTATGGAAAAATAGTATCAGTATAGCATAAAAAACAGAAATTGTTGAGAAATATACAGCTTCTCATGTATGTACAATTAAGATTTGATAAACAACAAATACTTCTCATTCTAATGACCAAAGAAAACTGCACTGACATACACTTAGTAGTTTCTATCAACTTCTTTTCCTTTCTTTTTTTTTTAATAGGAATCTCACTCTGTCACCCAGGTTGGAGTACAATGGCACAATCACGGCCCCCGCAGCCTCAACCTACCGGGCTCAGGCGATCCTTTCACCTCAGCCTTCCAAGTAGCTGGAACCACAGGTGTGCGCCACCACACCTGGCTAATTTTTTTTTATTTACTGTAGAGACGAGGTCTCACCAAGTTGCCCCTGGGTTCAGGCTTCCGCCTCCCAAAGTGCTGGGATTACAGGCTTGAGCCACCGTGCCTGGCTTCAACTTATTTTCAAGGTAAGGAAATATTTATTGAGCAGTCACCAAGTGGCAAGCACTTTCATATCAGTTATTCCAATGAATCTTTTAATAGTCTTGTTTTCCATTTCTATAAGAAAGATAAGTTAACTTGTCTAAGGTCAGATAAATAACAGATAGTCAGGTTGAGACCTAAACCTGTATCTGCCTGACTCCATAGCACCCGCTGTCCTTGTCTCCCTAACCTTTGAAAGCTTCCTTAGGTGAATACATGACCAGGATCTACCTACATTTTCTTCTGCTGCTCAATCTGCTTTTCTTTCTTCTCATAGTATTCCATAATCTTCAGTCTTTGGGTTTGCACAAGCCGACCTTTCTCAATGTTGAACTCTTCTTCAGCCTACAGAGGAATTAGTAAATATTAATTCATGACATCAAATTTTGATGAATAATTTTATTTTAAGTAGGTGACCAGTGGTATTTACTTATGATCATTTATTCCAAATGGAAAATTTATTGTGATTAATTTTAAGGATTACTTCTAATTTATTAAAAAAGACCAGCAATTTTTATTATAAACAATGAAAGAAAAAATCTGATCATAAACAGTACCCAGAAACAAAGTTACAAAAGATATAATCATGTAAAAGATTTTAAGCTGGGCTCGGTGGCTCAGCCTGTAATCCCACGCCTTTGGGAGGCTGAGGTGAGTGGACTGCATGAGCCCGCGGGTTCGAGACTTGCCTGGGCAGGCGAGACCTCATCTCTACAATAAAATCAAAAAATTAGCCGGGCGTGGTAGCGCGCGCCTGTAATCCCAGCTATTCGGAAGGCTGAGGCGGAAGAATCGCTGGAGCCCAGCAGGTCGAGGCTGCGGTGGCCGGGAGCGGCCACTGCACTCCAGTCTGGGCGACAGAGAGAGACTCCAACTCAAAAAAACAAAAGACAAAACAAACAAAAAAAATATTTTATTCATGAGAAAAATTATGTATGCTAAATTTAATCCATTTGCTTACAAGTGGGCTAATGAAAAGAACACAGAATTTGAAGTTCTGAAGATCTAAATCATTGTCTATAAATTTTGGTCAAATAACCTCAGTCTTAGTGTCCCTCCCTTGTAAAATGAAGTAAAAAAATAGTATTCTTTCCTCACAGATTGAATAAATGTAGCAGTCGTTTTAATAAGTAAGTTGTTAGCTTTTTTAGTGCAAATGATTGAGCAGTTACTTTTTTTTTTCTTTTGAGTTGGAGTCTCACTCTGTCACCCAGACTGGAGTGCAGTGGCATGCTCACAGACACCGCAGCCTCGACCTGCTGGGCTGTGATCCTGCCACCTCAGCCTTCCAAGTAGCTGAATCTACAAGTGTGTGCTACCACTCCTGGCTAATTTTTTGATTTATTGTAGAGACAAGGTCTTGCCAAGTTGTCTAGGATGGTTGCAAACCCCTGGACTCAGGTAATCCTCTCACCTCAGCCTCCCAAAGTGCTGGGACTACAGGCATGAGCCACTGTGCCTGACCTTTAAACAGTTACTTTTTAAAAAAGGCTATCTTGGAAGAATGTCAGATGTCTATGGTTTTTTAAACAGTAATTGATTATGATTTTGGAAAAGTTAGCCAGAGTTGTTTATTCAGATGTTCAATGCTTGGCATAGGTACTTGAATCTTTACATTCTAAAACAGGTGTCTTACAGCTTATTTCTAGACCTACCATGGGAAATAAATAGATGATGGTGTTGTATAAGAATATTTGAGCTGAGCTCAGTGGCTCAGCCTGTAATCTCAGCACTTTGGAAGGCTGAGGTGAGTGGACTGCCTGAGCCCGTGGGTTTGAGACCTGCCCAGGCCAGTTGGCGAGACCTCATCTCTACAATAAATCAAAAATCAGCCGGGCATGGTAGTGCGCACTGTAGTTCCGACTACTTGGAAGGCTGAGGTGGAAGGATCGCCAGAGCCCAGCAGGTCGAGGCTGCGGTGGCCGGTAGCATGCCACTGCACTCCAGTCGGAGCGGCTGAGTGAGACTCCAACTCAAAAAAAAAAAGAATATTTGAGCCTGTAATGTCAGCATTTTGGGAGGCTGAGGTGAGTGGACTGCCTGAGCCTGCGGGTTCGAGACCAGTCCGGGCAACGTGGTAAGACCTGTCTCTACAATAAATAAAAAATAAGCCAGGCGTGGTAGCACAGGCCTGTAGTTCCAGCTACTTGGAAGGCTGAGGCAGAAGGATCCCTGTGGGTGTTCCACACACTCCAGCCTGGACAACAGAGTGAGACTCCAACTCAAAAAAAAAAAAGAATATTGGAACACGAATGCATTTACTGATATAATAGCTGTAACAGAATTTCTACATTTGGCCCAGAAAGAAATGAGAGATCTAATTGTATAAGAGACTGCAGTGCTCCTATGACCATCAAAACAATATTAAACAGTAGCCTATCAACTGTTATATATTAGCAGAAAACAAAATAGTCTTTTTCTTCTTCAATAATAAATCAGTCAAATAGTTGTACATCGTGGCTCAAGCCTATAATCCCAGCACTTTGGGAGGCCAAGGTGCAGGGACTGCCTGAGCCCATGGGTTCAAGAACAGCCTGGGCAACTTGGCGAGACCTCATCTCTACAATAAATCAAAAAATTAGCCGGGTCTGATGGCTTGTAACTGTAGTTCCATCTATTTGGAAGGCTGAGGTGGAAGGATCGTTTGAGCCCAGCAGGTCAAGGTTGTAGTGGCCATGAGTGTGCCACTGCACTCTAGCCTGAGTGACAGAGTGAGACTCCAACTCAAAAATAAAAAAGAAAGGAAAATTAATTTTTCAGGCTAGGTGTGATAGTTAACACCTGTAATGTCAGCACTTTGGAAGGCCAAGGCAAGAAGATTGCTAGAGCGCAGGAGTTTGAGACCAGCCTAGGCAACATAATGAGACCACGTCACTACAAAAACCAAAAAAAAGGAAAATTAATTTTTTGACATTAAAGATACATATTCGTACAAGTCCTATGCAATCTGTTGTTAAACAATTTTACTAATAATATTGTTCAGCAAAAGAAAACAATATAAAACTTCGATAAGAAAATGGATCTCACCTTTGCATCTATTTCTTCTGCTTTCTCATTGGCTTCTTGTTCAATGAAAGCCATCATATGCTTAATCTATAAGGGGAAAAAAGAGTATTTTAATTTTTAATGTAACTAGAGGAGAAAATATATCTTTTCTGATTCACTCAACAATCATTACTGAATGCTTATTATGTGCTAGGCACTGAGCATAAGGATAAATGAAATCATTTCTCCCCTCAGGAAGCTTACAACCTGGATGGAATCTCTTCTAGCAAATGGACCAGATGCAATATTCACTAACACAGGTAGGTAGAACACCATCCTACTCTCAAGAAACAGGCTACACGGTAGTACTGCCATGTATCTCCCACTACCTCATACTCATCAGCCAGCACTGTCTCATCCTCTTCACCTCTAAACAGATGTGCCGAAGAGCTCTCTGTCTGCTTTCGACTGTCTTATCTCTTACGCTCAACAAAGTCTGCCTTCCACCCCCTCGACTCCACTGACATAACTCTCATAAAGTGCCATCTCCTTGCCTGGTGACTCTTGCCCCCATCTTCCTTGATCTTTCAGCATTAGCGGGCACACTGGCCAACTTTAAACAATCTCTTCCCTTTGCTTCCACGACTTCCTCCTCAGTCTCCTCCAGGCCACTCTTCTCTGCCTCCTAGACAGCTCTCTTTGTTAGCCTACTCACAGTAACCTAATTCAACAAAAAATCACTCGGGTTGGATGTGGTGGCTCACGCCTATAATCCCAGCACTTTGGGAGGCGGAGGTGAGAGGATTGCCTGAGCCCACAAGTTCCAGAACAGCCTGGGCAACTTGGAGAGACCTCATCTTTACAATAAATCAAAAAATTAGCCGGGTGTGGCAACGTGCGCTTGTGATTCCAGCAACTTGGAAGGCTGAGATGGAAGGATCACCTGAGCCCAGCAGGTGAGGCTGTGGTGGCTGTGAGCATGCCACTGCGCTCCAGCCTGGGCAAGAGAGTGAGACTTCCACTGAGAGAAAATAAGTAAATAAATCACTCCTCTCTCACCTCACTTCGATATCGCTGAGATTAGCATCACACCCAGCTATGACTCTTGCTCCTACCTCCATCCGCACAACTAATCAACCACCAAGTGCCACCAATTCTGTCTTAATAGTTCTTGAACTCGTCCACATCTCTCTACCCTAGACCCATTACCCTAGTCCTTGCCATCCTCATCTCTCAGTTGAAATCACTGCAACAGCTTCCAAACTTGTCTCCCTGCTGCCAGTCTTGTTCCTGCTAATCTACTCTACTGCAACTAGAGAGATCCTTTCAAAATGCCTGTCTAGGCTGGACTTGGTGGCTCAGCCTATAATACCAGCACTTTGGGAGGTCGAGGCTTGAGACCTGCCTGAACCCAAGGGTTTGAGACCAGTTTGAGGAACTTTGCGAGACCTCGTCCCTACAAAAATAAAAATAAAAAATTAGCCAGGTGTGGTAGCACGCGTCTGTAGTTCTGGCAATTGGAAGGCTGAGGTGGAAGGATCACAGCCCAGCAGGTTGATGCTGGGGTGGCCGTGAACATGCACTGCACCCCAGCCTGGGCGATGGAGTGAGACTCCAACTCAAAACAAAACAAAAACAACCCCAAAATGCCTGTCCATCATGTAACACTCTACCCCTTAATATAAAGTATAAAGGCTTTAGAAAGCATACCTTCTAATCACTGCTTACCTTAAAGCAACATATGAAACAAACTCCTCACTACTCACCTTTCAGAATCTTAGTTCTGCCCTACTAAGCTTATTTCAATTCCTTGAGTTCCCCAATCTCCTTCCCACCTCCAGGATTACAAACATGCTCTTGCTTCCCCTTGGGACACTCTTTCATCACTTCTCACCCAGCTAACTTCTTGGGTCGGCTTGCAGCATGCTCACCTCTGGGGAGGCTCTTTCCTGAACCTCTCACTCATGTGCACCTGGGCACTCCACACTTCCTCTACTACAGCTCCCAAATACATGTCCATAACTGCGTGTTTACTTGCCCCATCCTCACCTGACCTATGAGGCTAGAAACGTGTTAAAGGGTTTTACATCATTGCTACAATTAGAGAAAGTTCACTGAAGGTTTCTGAATGGAGCTTGGGCAGATGGATCTAGCTTAGACTTGCTAATGAGGTAATGTCTCTAGTGGCAGAATAAAATACACACAGTGAAAAATCCAACAAACACCACTAATCGAACTCGTTGGTAGTAGGGTGGAATGGTAGTTTCATTTCACAAGGGCTCTACCTGAAAGGAGTGATGAAATTTTTTTTTTTTTTTTTTTAGGAGTGATGAAATTAAAAAAAAAAAAAGTTAAAAAAAGTAAAGTTAAAAGCGTATGTAGGATCTCTTCATTTTGTTTATTAATTCTCCCACAAATGGTAAGCTCCATGAGTATAGGGATCTCGTCTTTTATACCACTATAAACCCAAAACATGAGAAAACCATGTCTATAGTAGGTGCTCCACAAACATTTGTGAATGAATGAGAATCTATTGGGAGTTTCGATCCTGAGGAGTACAAGGTATTCCAGTTAAGTTTTAGGGTTTGACATTCCCATTGCAGCTTCTCCACGTAACAGAGATAGCACAAACCCAAGATATGTGGATATACTTAACACTACTGAACTGTACACTTAAAGATGGTTAAGATGGGAAGTCTTATGTTGTGGTTTTTCTTTTTCCGAGTTGGAGTCTCACTCTGTCGCCCAGACTGTAGTGCAGTGGCCGCTCCCGGCCACCGCAGCCTCGACCTGCTGGGCTCCAGCGATCCTTCTGCCTCAGCCTTCCAGGCAGCTGGAACTACAGGCGCGCGCTACCACACCCGGCTAATTTTTGATTTGTTGTAGAGATGAGGTCTCACCAAGTTGCCCAGGCGGGTGTTGAACCCGCGGGTTCAAGCAATCCACTCACCTCGGCCCCCCAAAGCGCGGGGTTACAGGCTGAGCCACTGAGCCCAGCATGCTGTGTCTTTTTAAACCCAATTTTTTTTTGAGCTGGAATTTCACTGTTACCCATACGGGAGTGCAGTGGCACACTCAGTCAGCCCAGTGTCGAACTGTTGGGCTCTGGCAATCCTGCCACCTCAGTCTTCCAAGCAGCCGAACCATAGGCGTGCACTACCATACCTGGCTAATTTTTGATTTCTTGTAGAGACAAGGTCTCACCAAGTTGCCCAAGCTGGTCTCGAACCCGCAGGCTCAGGCAATCCACTTGCCTCAGCTTCCCAAAGTACTGGGATTACAGACTGAGCCACTGAGCCCAGCTGGTTTTTCTTTAAAAATCAGAGTCTCACTCTGTCACCCAGCCTGGAGTGCAGTGCCATGCTCATGGCCACTGTAGCCTTGACCTGCTGGACAAGTGATCCTTCCATCTCAGCCTTCCAAGTAGCTGGAACCACAGGTATGAGCCACCACGCTCAGTTAATTTTTTGATTTATTGTAGAGACGAGGTCTCATCAAGTTGCCCAGACTGGTCTTGAACCTCTGGGCTCAGGCAATCATGTCACCTCTACCTCCCAAAGTGCTGGGATTATAGGTGGAAGCCCAGCTCCAATTTTACTTTTGAGGAGAAAAAAAATTGTGATAATCTGAGTCTATTTTATAGATAGCAAAATACTTACACAAATCTTGAGCTTTAAAATATATAGTATAAGCCAGGCTTGGTGGTTCAGCCTGTAATTCCGCGCCTTTGGGAGGATGAGGTGAGTGGACTGCCTGAGCCCACGGGTTCGAGACCCGTCTGGGCAGATGAGACCTCATCTCTACAATAAAATCAAAAAATTAGCCGGGCGTGGTGGCGTGCGCCTGTAATTCCAGCTATTCGGAAGGCTGAGGCGGAAGGATCGCCGGAGCCCAGCAGGTTGAGGGTGCGGTGGCCAGGAGCTGCCACTGCACTCCAGTCTGGGTGACAGAGTGAGACTTCAACTCAAAAAAATAAATAAAATAAAATAAAATATCTAGTATATAGCCGGGTTCGGTGGCTCAGCCTGTAATCCCAGCACTTTGGTAAGCCGAGGTGAGTGGACTGCCTGAGCCCGCGGGTTCGAGACCCGCCTGAGCAACTTGGCGAGACCACATCTCTACAATAAATCAAAAATTAGCCAGGCATGGTAGCGAGCGCCTGTAGTTCCAGCTACTTGGAAGGCTGAGGTGGAAGGACCACCGGAGCCCAGTAGGTCGAGGCTGCGGTAGCCCGGAGCGGCCACTGCACTCCAGTCTGGGTGACAGAGTGAGACTCCAACTCAAAAATAAAGTAAAATAAAATAAAATATCTAGGATACCTAATTCTGAGCTACATGTATGGGAGTCACTGACCTTGCTTAAAAATTTAGTCCTACAGATCTAGGGGGGGTGTGAGCTTGTGGTAAGGAATGGTGCCTCCAGTCTCTACAGGTTCAGTCTGAAGGAATTTTAAAAGTAGTTTAACTAAATACAATAATCACAACCTATGTTTATAAATGCCACAAGACAAGTCTGGCCTCTAAAGGTGAACCCTGATTCAAACCTGTATTGTCTGCCTTGAACACTCTTGCTGGACCCTCAGCTACCAGATTTGACCAGATCAGCACAGCCTAGAGCAAAAGGCACTAATTCCAACCCAGGTCAGAAAAGTCTATTTACAGTCAACAGGGTCATAGTCTTCAAAAGTTCCAAGAACACGAATAGTCAACCCCTTAAGGACATTTAACTCCACCCCTAAGGCAGAAAAATCTGACTTCCCAATAACCCAGTAATTGAGATTTTTGAAGTCAGGTTCCCTCATAACTTTAAATAAATGATGATACTCCCCAGACAGAAAAGCAAATATATTTCATGGGAGACTCTCAGTCTTCAATGTATCAGAACAAGGGTGGAAAAGAAGGAACAAGCCGGGCTCAGTGGCTCAGCTTGTAATCCCGTGCCTTTGGGAGGCTGAGGTGAGTGGATTGTCTGAGCCCATGCGTTCGAGACCCGCCTGGGCAACTTGGCAAGACCTCATCTCTACAATAAATCAAAAAATCAGCCGGGCGTGGTAACGCATGCCTGTAATTCCGGCTACTGGGAAGGCTGAGGCGGCAGGATCACCGG